CTTTTCCTCTGGGTAGATACCCAAGAGTGCGATTGCTGGATCAAATGGAAGATTAGTTCTTTCAGGAATCTCCACACTGTTTTCCATAGTGGTTATATCTTACTCTTCTTTGCCATTCATGAGTTAGCATGAAATTCAATTCTATCACCCACCAGGGGGTTTTCTCAGGGGACTCATCTAAGTATTTAGGTTCACAAGACCTCCATAAGCCACCCTGTCACTCATTTGCTAAGACAGGAAACAGGACAGACAGGGGCATTCCTTTTCTAGGGGAGTCCTTGCAGTGGTCCATATAGCTATCTTTTCTCCAGGTGACTGCTCAGCTATGAGGAGATGAGATACACATCAGGTGGCTGTGGAAATCAGCCTGGCTTAAAAGCCTCATTCCTCACAGGAGCCAATATTTCTTATAACCACTACACGGGCATTTCTTTCAGGGTCCCTGTAGTTATAAGAGTTGCCATTATCAGGAAAGCCCAAAACTGTGGCTTCCTGTTAGAGGTTATAGGTCTTCCAGCCAGATGCAGTTGACCAGTCAGGGGTCACTTTTCTCTTAGGCAGTAGGCCCAACAAGAAATTGACATACCACCTTAATAGGTTACCAAGGGAACAGCAAGAGAGTTTTGGTAGCCAGCTTCCAAGATGGCTCCCAATCATCCCTGCACCTGTTTTCATGCCTTCTCACACTGAGTAGGGTCCACTTATGTAATCGCTAGGTTATTGGGGAAATAATGGTGTGTGACTTCTGAGGTTAGGCCATAAAAGATATTATGGCTTCCGTCTTACAGACGACTCAGCCTCCCAAAGTGCTGGGATTATAGCACTTTTAAACCACTTATTCCAGGGGAAGTCAGCTGCCATGTTGTGAGGACACTCAAGCAATCCTATGAAGAGGCCTGTGTGATGAGGAACTGAAGCCTCCTGCCAACAGCCATGTGAGGGCACCATCTTGGAAGCAGATCCTCCAACTCCACCCAAGCCTTCAGATGAATATAGCCCTGACGAACACCTACACTACAGTCTCATGAGAGAACCCTAGCCAGCACTACCTGGCTAAGATGCTGCCAAATTCCTGACCCACAGAAACTGTGAGATAATAAATACTTGTTGTGTGAAGCCACTACGTTTTGTGGACATTTGCTATTAAGCAATAACTAACACAAGTTAGCTGAAGGTCACGTTCTTGTTGAGTAGTGGAAAGAGTTTTGTTAACCTTTTACCCACTGTGGTTCACTTGATAAATGGCAGACGAATAAAGAGTGAAAATGAGCACAAAAGTGCCTAAGAAAATGTTCTTCTTTATTGGATGACGAAAGGGTCTGGAACTAAACTAATGTAAAACTATGAAAGGATGATGGGTATAATCAAAATGACATATAAGTAATGAAAATGAATGAGCTAAACACCACTACATATATTAATGTTAGCTGCATAATGTTGAGTAAAAAAAGCTAGTCCCAGAAGACAAAATACAGTAAGACACTCTTTTGATAAAGTTTTAAAAAAGTAAAAGTAACCAATGTATTGTTTAGATATAAATGGCTGTGACAAAACAAAAACTCCAAAGGCAAGAGCATAATCTTTACAGAGTTTATCATAGTGGTCACCCCTGTAGACAGGGAAACAGGAAGGTTGGTCAGACAGGAGCATGTTGTAACTGTTAAGTTTTTGGTCATGTTGGTTCATGAAATATTCCCAATACTATTAAATAAATCTAAATAGAATAAAATAAATAGAAAGGGCCATGCATGGAACAAAGATGTTTGTGTACCAGGGACTGAGAATTATGACTAACCCCAATTCAATAAGCCTGAGGTCCAATAAAAAGGGTGGTAGTGATGGGGGTTAGTCTAAGGCCTGAAGAAAGGGAGGGATGTTAACACTTTAAATACTGATAGTCAAATATGAAGCAGAGGCAGGTGGTCAGTGGGATGGAGACCCCTATAAACAAAATGTATGGTTTTTTTGCTATTTGGGGGTAAAAGGTAGCACAATTTCAGTACACTTTATTTATTTAGTTAGTTAGTTAGTTAGTTTTGAGACAGAGTCTCGCTCTGTCGCCCAGGCTGAAGTGCAGTGGTGTGATCTCGGCTCACTGCAACCTCCACCTCCAGGGTTCAAGCGCTTCTCTTGCCTCAGCCTCCTGAGTAGCTGGGGTTACAGGTGCATGCCACCATGCCCGGCTAATTTTTGTATTTTTAGTAGAGACAGGGTTTCACCATGTTAGCCAGGCTAGTCTTGAACTCCCGACCATCTCCTTGTTCTGATTCCAAGCTCACTATGTTTCAATACAATATAAGAATCTAGCCTCCCATGTAGATCTTCCTACCGGAAAGAAACACACTGTTGGCAAATACAATGATCCAGTCTGACGGATAATTATATTTTTTCATTAGAAAGGAATTAACTCACTTTCCAGGTTTATACAACAACTTCTTTTAGTTTGGTTAGCATGTGTCCTCTGGATCCTGCTTACCTCTGTGTCAACTAATGGAATCAGCTTTTTGGCCCTACAGTGAAGCACAGGACACTGGAAGAAGACAGTCCAAGGCATTGTTACCCAGTCATCCCCAGTCAGGTCACGTTTGAAACTCCAACAGTTTAGTAATATACTAGTAAGTCAATTTGTAGCTCTACTTGAAGAAGGTTTATGCCAAACAAGATAGTTTCAGTAATGAAGCTATATTGAATGATATTCAAAACAATTGTTCTAAATTTTACTCTATAATGTCAGAGCAAGGTTCCAATGAATATCAATGCAAATATACAACACATTTAAATGGTTTTTAGTTACATTCTATTTATACAGTTAGAAAATATTGATTATGTCTTATTAAAATAGGTCCATCTAGAAGACTGTGAACAAATTTCTAGGTTTGTCATTAAGAATCCCTGAATCTACTGAATTTTAGAATTTCCTTAACACAATTCACATTTTTCCAAATAATAATTTCTACTGTTTTATAAATAACTGTATATTGATAGTGTTTGCTCAATAATATTGAGATGTTATTTACTGTTCATGATGTATGCGGAGGAAGGTCAAGGCTAGGTTTTGTTCATTTCCTTTTCCAGGTGTTATATGGCTTGTGGCACTTCACTAATTAGAAATCATTTTCTCAAACGTTCATAAAACGGAAACTATCCTTACCGAAATCCAGTCAGATGATTTCAAAAAAGTAGATCTGAAATGCCTTTTGAGAGCCGAGAGTGCCTTCCGAGCAGTTCTGTGCCCAGGTGAATGATTTATGTCAGCATTTTGCAAAATGTGTTCTGGGAAAAACCACATGGGAGGGATATTAATAGAGTGTTACTTTAAAGTTACTGTGGTCAAAATGCTACAGAAACACCAGACTAAACAAAGTTAAGCAAGTTCATTACTGTAGGCCTTCTCTGAGCGATCTAATATTCTATTAACTGTGTTAAGAGACAGGCAGATCCCAAACTTCCTTCTTTCTCATTTTCTCCTCAGGAACACATCATGGTAAATGCTTCTTTATAGGGACTATTTCCCAACACAGTCTCATACAAGTGTCAGAGAAGGTGTATCAGTTTCACACATGAATAGTTTCCATTTTATGAATGGTTTCCGTTTTATGAACGTTCAAGAAAATGATTCATAATCAGTGAAGTGCCACAAGCCATATAACTCCTGGAAATGGAAATGAATAAAACCTGGCCTTGGCCTTCCTCCACCATACATCATGAACAGTAAATAACATGTCGAAATTATTGAGCAACTAACACCTGTGGTAAATGGCTGCCCTGGTACAGAATCCAGGCCAGTATTCTCAAACTAGTAGTCTACACTCATGAGTCCCATTTCTCCTTGGTAAGATTTTTTTTTTTTTCTTAAGATAGGGTCTCATTCTGTCGCCCACGCTGGAGTGCAGTGGCACGATCTCAACTCACTGCAACCTCCGCCTCCCAGGCTCAAGCCTCAGCCTCCGGAGTAGCTGGGACTACAGGCGTGCACCACCCCGCATGGCCTTTGGTAAAGAGATCTTGATTTTGTCTTCACCCTCCTCTCCCACAGGGAGGACGTTAGGACCCTTTCTACCCCTGTACCTCCAATCCTCCTTCCAAGTGGCATTGTCTGCATAGTTCTTGTACTCTTCTCTTCCAGGGTCATAAGAACTAATCTTCTTCCCCATATCTGGTCACAATACTAAAGTGCATTTTTTGTTTTGTTTTAGTTACTTGACTGTTTTTAAAATTGACAAGTCAGTCGTTCTCCTACATACGGGAAAAATGGGTCCTAAAAAAAAAAAATATATATATATATATCTCTCTACAGGTCTCGCTGCGTCACCCAGGCTGGAGTGCAGGGGCACCACCACGGCTCACTTGCAGCCTCGACCTCCCAGGCTCAAGCGATCCTCCCACCTCAGCCTCCCGAGCAGCTGGGACCACAGGTGCACACCACCACACCCGGCTAATTTTTGTATTTTTTAGTAGAGACGGGGTCTCGCTATGTTGCCCAGGCTGGTCTCTAACTCTTGAGCTCCAGCGATCCTCCCAACTTGGCTTCCCAGAGTGCTGGGATTACAGGCGTGAGCCAATGCGCCCGGCCTAAACTAAATACTTTTAAGTTGCAGTGTCACCATTATTTTTTTCGAGCCTGTAGGGGTTATATAGAGGAAAGTCCAGAGCTTAGGTATTTGAGGGGCCGATCTTGAAGTAGCACTTAAGAGAAAGGAATCCCGGCGCTACGGGCTTCAAGGTGGCCCCTCCGAAAAGCCTTCCACCCTGGCCCAAATCCCGCGGCGTGCGAGTTCCGTGGAGAAGGCCCCGCCTGCGGCCCCAGAATCGGCATTAGGGGCTCGCGTCCACCCGGCAAGGCCTCCCCTAAGCCCAGAGCAGGGACCTAAGTAGATGCGAGAAACCCTCCAGTAGACAGAAGCCCGCGAACTCAGTGCACTCGCGCTGCCTGAAGGAAGCCGGAAGTGGGCCGCCGGCAGAAGCCGACTTCCTGAGTTCGCATTTCCTCTCTAGGAATCCGGAGGTTTCTGCATCTCTATGGTCTGGGCCTCAGGCGGCAGAGCCTGAGGTCTCTGGTGCAAAAGAAAGTGGCCTCGCAGCGAGGAGGGGAAGGAGCATCGGTTCATCTCTTCGTGATCCCTTTCCTACCCCTTCACACTCGTGCGCACCTGGCAGTACCACCAGCAGAGTCTCGGAAATTGCTTTCATCACGATTTAACAAAATGAAGACACAGGAACACACTAGGACATCGCCAAAGTCAACAAGTCTCTCTAGCGGTTTTTCCGGTAGTGTATGCACACATGCATTTAAAAATTTAGATGAAGTCTAACATTCATGCAATAACACAGCTGAGATGACTAGTAATAATAATAATAATAACCCAAACATGTTTGACATTTGAAGTTCCTTTTGAGTTTGAACCCCAGGCTGGGTCTGAATGAGCTGGTCTCATATCTCAGCACAGACCCTGCCCTCTGGTCCCTAGGGCCGCGGGCAGGAGAGACACACCTGTCCTTCCATGGGCTCCCAGGGCTCCAGCTGGCCCATCTGTTGATTCGAAGGTTCTTGCTAACCAACTTATATAGACTTTCTTTTTTTTTTTTTTTTTGAGACAGAGTCTTGCTCTGTCGCCCAGGCTGGAGTGCAGTGGCCGGATCTCAGCTCACTGCAAGCTCCGCCTCCCGGGTTCACGCCATTCTCCTGCCTCAGCCTCCCGAGTAGCTGGGACTACAGGCGCCCGCCACCTCGCCCGGCTAGTTTTTTGTATTTTTTAGTAGAGATGGGGTTTCACCGTGTTAGCCAGGATGGTCTCGATCTCCTGACCTCGTGATCCACCCGTCTCGGCCTCCCAAAGTGCTGGGATTACAGGCTTGAGTCACCGCGCCCGGCCTATAGACTTTCTTATCTGTATTTTCCACTCTAAAAAGGGATAGGGAAAACGATGCAAATACAAATAACTGTAGAATCTAGTAAAATTAGAATTGTCTAGGTTTATAAAACATATGGCATCCAACACAAATAAAGGTGTGGTGAAATTAGTTCATTCTGAGCAGACGGAATGTAAATATATGCCATCCTGTTGAAAAACTACTTGGCATTTTATATCAAAAGCCACCGTGACTCATGGGATCCCATCTGTGAAAATTTATCTCAAGCAAATAATGCAAGAGAAAGGAAAAGCTGTATTTTTGAAGTGATTCTGCAATGGACAACCATTGTTTTTGTTTGCCCAACATTCAGTTTTTCTTTTAATGATTTTAACAGTAGGATTTTTCTGTGGGAAACCTGCTAGCCCTCAATCTACTTCTGGGGTGAGCCCATGACGCAGGTCTGGCCAATGAGAATATCCCAGCATGGTGAGGCAGTAAGACATGAAGTCAGGAGCCAGACTGAAGGCCCCCTAGTCCTGGCTCTGCTGCTTAACAGATGCATGTATGTCAGCTTGTTATTCAGCTTCTCTGACTCTCAGTATACTCATTTGTTGAATGAGCACATTAATAGTCCCCTGCCTCACAGGGTAAAAATTAAATGAATGAAGCAGATATAATAATGCTTGTTACGTCCTACCATCATCAGTTCCTGCCTCTGTGACTCTGATCAATATTTTCTCTGTCTAGCACGCTTTATCACCACCTTTCCTTTCTTTCCTTTTCTGTTTACTTTCCACATGTTGCAATATCATCTACTGCATTATCCTAGACATTTATTTTATATTTTTCTTTCCTACAGGGAATACCCCAAAGGTGGGACTGTGTCTTATTCACCTTTGTACTCTGGGTGCTTAACACTGTTCCCACCCCAGAAATGGTGCTCAATAAAGTCTTCTTGAAGAAAACAGAATAGCCTCGAGTCCAGAGCTGAGAAAGAAGTCGGAACAACTAGTGAAAAGGTAATAAAGCCTAGATGATCAACAAAAGGGGAATAGAGGGAACCACATGAATATGAAGAATTTTCTTTAAAAAAAACCATAGAAACAAAAAACTTGATCCCTGGGGATTGCAGACTGCCTATCTCCCTATCCCTAGACTGGCTCCCATATGGTGGACAGATGAGTTCTAGGGACAGACTTGTGCTTAAGATTCACTTTCTGAATTACTGCTTCCTTTTTCTGCCTTAGGAATCATCTCTTTCCTTGGAGACTAAAAGGAGAAATGAGCATTCTCTTCAGATCCAGATCGATCCAGTCTACCTTCAAGAAAGACCGCCCTGCAAGGCCGGTATTCATACGCAAACATTCAGACATAAAATGCAAAGCGTAGAGGAAGCTTAAGATACAGTCAACAAGGCCGGGCATGGTGGCTCACAACTGTAATCCCAGCATTTTGGGAGGCCAAGGCCAGAGGATCCTTTGAGCCCAGGAGTTCAACACCAGCCTGTGCAACATAGCAAGACCCCATCTCAACAAAGATACAGTAAGACACTAGGGAAGGGGCAGGCTTCATTAGGTGCCTGGAGCAGATGTGTCAGGCCGGCCTGGAAACCCTTGAAAACCCTTTCTTTCTTTTTTTTTTTGAGACGGAGTCTCACTCTGTTCCCCAGGCTGGAGTGCAGTGGCCGGATCTCGGCTCACTGCAAGCTCCGCCTCCCAGGTTCACGCCATTCTCCTGCCTCAGCCTCCCGAGTAGCTGGGACTACAGGCGCTCACCACCTCGCCTGGCTAGTTTTTTGTATTTTTTAGTAGGGACAGGGTTTCACCGTGTTAGCCAGGATGGTCTCGATCTCCTGACCTCGTGATCCGCCCGTCTCGGCCTCCCAAAGTGCTGGGATTACAGGCTTGAGCCACGAAAACCCTTTCTAATGAGTGATTGCTCATCTTTTGATGGTGATACTGAATGAGTGATACCAGCATCAATTTCTCTGCCGTACAAGACTCTCCTGGAATCCATCTGAGACTCAGAAATTCTCAGAGTTGAAAGAGATGGACAGGAGCACAGTTTGCCATTGAGTATAGAGTAGATCTCATCTACAACTTTGGACCATGGCCACTAACGCTGGGAACACTCCAAAGACACCCAGTTGCCTGGTCTGTGAGATCATCTGCTTAGTTTAAAGAACAAAATTAGTTGTTAGAAAGTTTTTCCATGAAGTCCTAATTGGTATTAATGTAATGGTGTCCTAATTCAGGTACTGGTAACCCTTAGCAGCCTTCAGTGAGGCAGCCGGAACCTAACAGATAGAGGACTTCTTGACTTAACTAACTTCTCCTACCACCAGATTCTGCAACTGAGCAAACATTTTCACTTTTTTTTTGTTTTTTGAGATGGGGTCTCACTCTGTTGCCCAGGCTGGAGTGCATTGTCATGATCTCGGCTCACTGCAACCTCTACCTCCCAGGTTCAAGTGATTCTCCTGCCTCAGCCTCCCAAGTAGCTGGGATTACAGGTGTATGCCACCACACCCAGCTAATTTTTGTATTTTTAGTAAAGATGAAGTTTCATCATGTTGGCCAGGCTGGTCTCAAACTCCTTACCTCAGGTGATCCGCCTGCTTTGGCCTCCCAAAGTGCTGGGATTACAGGCGTGAGTTACCATGCCTGGCCTAAACATTTTCACTTACAATATTAATTATAATTTGTTAAGAATAATTTGATTTTCTCATAGCAAACAAATGAATTATTAGAAAGTGGAGGCTTTGCCCAGAGGCACACATGTTAGTAAGCAGCCAAACCAAGACTCAGCCATGGTTTATTTTGTTCCAAATTCTGTGCTCTTTCCATGACTGCAGTGCTCAGCCTCCCTGAACTGGTAGATAACAGTGACATAAATTCAGTGAAATAAATTCTGGCTGTGTTGGCCAGGCACGGTGGCTCATGCCTGTAATCCCAGCACTTTGGGAAGCCAAGGTGGGCAGATCACTTGGGGTCACGAGTTTGAGGCCAGCCTGGCCAACTTGGTGAAAGCCCAAGTCTACTAAACAAACAAATGAACAGAAAACAAAATGAAACAAAAAACCAAAAATCAGCCGGACATGGTGGCATGAGCCTGTAGTCCCAGCTACTCAGGAGGCTGAGGCAGGAGAATTGCTTGAACTTGGGAGGTGGAGGCTGCAGTGAGCCAAGATTGCACCACTGCACTACAGCCTGGGCAACAGAACGAGACTCCGTCTCGAAATAAATAAATAAATAAATAAATAATAAATTCTGGCTGTGTCTACCTGGGTATGGGATTGATTGATCCATGACTGGGAAATTTTGGACAAGTCTGTTAGAGAGAAGGTGAGGGGCTCTTCTTGAGAGGCCCTTAAGAAGGTAGTAGGCCAGGTGCAGTGGCTTGTGCCTGTAATCTCAGCACTTCAGGAGGTCGAGGTGGGTGGATCGCTTGAGCTCAGGAGTTCAAACCTGGGTAACATGGCAAAACTCCATCTTCACCAAAACTACAAAAAAAATTTAGCCGGGCATGGTGGCACGCGCCTGTAGTCCCAGCTACTCAGGAGGCTGAGGGCAGAGGATCACTGGAGCCCGGGAGGTTGAGCCTGTGTGAGCTGAGATCACGCCATTGCACTCCAGCCTGGGTGGCAGTGAGACCCCTGGGCGCAGAGAAAAATAAAAAGAAATGAAGATAGCAAATGTGGCAGACTTAAGCTGAGAGGAGGGAAGACCTAACTCATGAGGGATGGGACACTTGGAGCAAACAGAGGGTCCTGGGACCTGGAGGTTTCATGATGATGAACAACAGGTAAGTGAACCCTGAGCAGGACTGAATGCTGGACTTAGAGGACAAATATGCAAGTTCAAGACTTTCCAAGATGACTCAGCTCAAAGTTAAGATTGGGATATGGCCATGGAAGTGGTTAGCTGAAGTGAAGCAGAAGCAAAGATCGCTGGAAGGGAGGAGGTTGAGGGTCAGAAAGTTGGGAGTTCATCCATTGGGACTCTGAAATCACCCGGGATGGACAAGAGGAGGATGTGGGTAAGGTGCTCAAGTTCTGTGGGGGAAAATCTGGAGAAAGACAAGAGTACTAGGAGGAGTAGGGTGGTGGAGATGGGTGTGTACGCCTCAGAGGAGGAAGGGTTTAGCACCAAAGTGGAAGAACGATGGTTCAGAAGTGGCAGTGGGAAGCTTGGGGAACTCATAATACCAGCCTGGAAATAGGGTGATGACAGAGGAGCAAAGCAACCTCCCCTATAATGGGTATGACACCCCGGGGGACAAGCCCAGTTGCCCTTAGGATGAAGATCTAGTAGAATATTCTAGGAGGACAGAATGCTCCTTCTATTATCATTATTTTTTTTAGAGACAGGGTCTTGCTTTGTCACCCAGGCTGAGGTGCAGTGGTGCAGTCATAGCTTACTGCAGCCTCACACTGCTGGGCTCAAGTGATCTTCCTCCCTTAGCCTCCTAAATAGCTGTGATTACAGGTACATGCCACTGTACCTGGCTTATGTATTTTTTAAAAATTGAGATATAATTCACATACCATAAAATTTACCCTATTAAAGTACACAACTCAGTAGTTTTGGCATATTCACAGGTTGAATCTCTACTACAAATTCCAGAACATTTTCAAGAAGAAACACCAAACTCATTAGCAGTCGTTTCTCATTCCCTCCACCCCTAAGGATTTGTACTTTTTTTTTTTTTTTTTTTTTTTTGAGATGAAGTCTCACTCTGTTGCCCAAGCTGGGGTGCAGTGGCACAATCTTGGCTCACTGCAATCTCTGCATCCCAGGTCCAAGCGATTCTCCTACCTCAGCCTCCCAAGTAGCTGGGATTAATGGGCATGTGCCACCATTCCCGGCTAATTTTTGTATTTTTTAGTGGAGACTGGGTTTTGCCATGCTGGCCAGGCTGGTCACAAACTCCTGACCTCAAGTGATCTGCCCACCATGGCCTCCCAAAGTGCTGAGATTACAGGTGTGAACCACTGTGCCCGGTCAGAATTTGTACTTTTTAACACCTCATTTGCTGTCAGCAGGGTGGTTGAAATTTTGAACCCAGAAGGGCTGTCTACTAAAGATAAAGAAAGATGAGAAAAAAAGCACAATTAGCTTTTCCAAGGTTCAGGTGATGTAACAAGACATAGAGATGAAGATGGATGGATGCATGGATGGATGGATGGATGGATGGATGGATGGATGGATGGATGGATGGTTAGATAGACAGACTGATTGATTCACAGATAGAGAAAGCGATTATTAGGTTCACACATCAAAACAAAGAGAAATGAGCCTAGGGAAAGTGGATCTTTAGAAGCAACACCTGAACTGGATTAAAAATGCATTCTTGCAGGAGTTAATGTTTTTATTTTCTTTGTGTCTCCTGTATCAATCATCTTCCTGTGCCCTTCCAGACATTTCCATTTCTGGGAAAACCAAGGGTAAAACGGGCAGGAGTTTTGGAAAATCCCATGCTTTGGAAAACCATAAGACAGATGCTTATTCCCTACCACCCTCTCAGTTCCTTACAAAGAGTGGTGGTGGCTGGTGGAAGCTGAAGGAGGAGGTGGGATCCCCCCCTATCCACACAGCTGTGGTGCTGTAGCCATCCTGTCACAGTCAGGGCAAGGGGGGAACCTGGGCAGTTGGCAGAAACACTGAGGGAGGCACAAGCCTCCAGCTGGATCTTGGGGGCCAGTGTCAGTAGAGGACCCTCAGTTGGCGTGCATTCTGTTTAAGCATCCTTTGCAGGGTGGGAATGTTTGGCCAAAGAAAGGGGCTTCAGTAAGATTAATACAAATGGAGTGCAGCAATTAGTACATTTTCCTGAGGTCTCTTTTTCTAAAGTAGGTCCCTCTTGCCCCATCCCTGATCTCTGTGTGATAACTTGTAGGGAATGTTGTTGGTAGCCTTCAGCTTTTTTGAATGTCTGCCACATGGAGTCCCATTTTGGGGTGGTTGGTCTAAGTTCAGAAGGGCCTTGACTTAGGGGGAGCACTGTTCCCATTCTGCTACACCTCAGGGCTGATTGAGCTTTTTATTCTCCTCAGAATACTGACCTCATAGGATTTCCAAATTTGAGGGGAGTTTTGAATTCATCACGTCTGTTTCTTTTTGAAATTACATATTACTAGTGAGAAACCAGAGAATCAGAGAGGTTAGGTAACTTGATCAAAGTCACCCATCCTCACTGGGTGTGGTGGCACACATCTGTAATCCCAGTTCCTTGGGAGGCTGAGGCTGGAGAATCGTTTAAGCCCAGGATTTGGAGTCCAGCATGTGCAACACAGCGAGACCTTGTCTCTACAAAACATAAAAGAATTGGCCTGGCATGGTGGTGCATGCCTCTCAGCTACTCGGGAGCCTGAGGCAGGAAGATTGCCTGAGCCCAGAAGTTGGAGGTTGCAGTGAGCTATGATCGTGCCACTGCACTCCAGCCTGGGTGACAGAGCTAAAAATAAATAAATAAATAAATAAATAATAATTAAAAAAAAAAACAAAGTCACCCATCCAACTAATCCATAGTGACAGAAAGCAGGTCAGTGGTTATGTGGGGACAGTGTAGGGAAGGAGGCGAAGGTCAGAAGGTGGTGCAAAGAAATTTTGGGGGATGATGGATAATTTCCCTATCTTGATTGTGTGTACAGTTTCATGGGTGTATATATATATGCCAAAACGTATCAAATTGCACACTTTAAATATGTG